CCAGAATAATCAAAACCAGAAAATTTAGCATAAAATAAATAAAATATACGGTAACAATAACAGTGTTCAACAGCTGCACAGAACGCATATTGTCACGGAGTTATCTGTTTTTGTATATGTGTTCGTCTGTCTCGGTATTTCTACTCGGCAACCACGCAAGCTTTGATGCTGAAATTTTGCCATTGTGTTCCCTGGCCAAGTGCAATCCCAGGAACGTGATATCAACTGTCAAGCACCTCTACGCCTCATGTACGGGCATGTGAAAATTTTTGGCAGGAAAATTGCTAACTTGGGAATGAGAAAGCCTGGAAGGCTGGAGTTTTAAGGGCATGCTTTCTGTTCATGTGCGACCAAAAGAGTTCAAATTTAACTCCTGGAGTGGGACCTTTTTCGCGCAGCAGCAGCCACTGAAGCCGACATCTACAACTGACATGCCACATTAATTTCTTGAATTTCGAAGGCCAACATGTCAGAAATTCTAGCTACTGTGATTCCTTGCGATCTTGCTACAGCACGAAACAGTGCAAAAACACATGAAAGCACCAGCCGACTTGGTGCGATCCAGCCTGGATTTTTCAGTTTCTGACTATTAAAAAGAAGACTGTTTCTTTTTTATACTGTGAGTTTTGGCTAGCCCTGGACTTGAGACATCTGTTTAAAACGCATTAAAAGAACATACTTCCTCAACATTGCGCTGATTCGTTTTGCTGCTAGGATTTAGTAGTATCTTCGCATACCTAACATGCCACAGAGTGAATACTTCGGATTGCTTCCGGTTGAAACAGGAGACAAACTTTGTCTTACCTGATTCTTGTTAGCAAAATATTGCCTAGGGCTATTTTTAGCTGTTTGTAACTCATTGAAATTATCGTATAGGATAGGAAATCAACTGTTTTCCTCAAAAAAATACCATTTTTTTTCGTCTTCCGTCTTTCCCATTTCACGATTTTCCCTAATTTTGCGAGTTTTAGCCAATTTATGTGCCGCCTGCGCTGATGGAATTTGCAATGCCCGATCCACCTACGGGGTTGCCGTTTAATGGGAAACCGCGGAAAAGTGATTTGGATGCGTTGCTGAAGAAATGTCCATTGCCACGCCTTGGCGGACCGCTTCCTGAGCGTGGCCATGGTCTGGAGGAGTATCAGAAGGTATGAAATAGTGTCGCTTTGTTTTTTGTTTTTTTTTGGGAAAAAAATGCTTTAGTTTTTAATTTTTGCTGACTGTTAGCTGAAGAAATACTTTCATGTTTTGTCGATGAGCTGAAGTTGAATTTTGCAATATTTTTATTAAAAAATCGGACGAAAACACCTCATAAATGAGGTTTTAATTTTCTTTTTTTTTGCATAAGAGATTTGTAGTGCACATATCGAAAAATCGCGCCTCATAAATGAGGTATAATTTTTGAAATAGTACTGCACATGCGAAAAAACCAAAAAGAAAAGAACACGTTGATGAGTGAAAATTGTTAAAAGATGTTTATGTTCTGTAGATGCTCAGGAACGCCGTCGTGCGGGTAGTGATCCCTACAGAAAGGTACTACTTGATTCCAATATTTATCATTCTTTCTATCTTCCAACAGTTTGGCGAGCGCTCTTTGGTTTGTCCATTTTGTCACAAACGTGTGTTCACGAGCGGGCGCAAGCAAGCAATGGACAATAAGATGCTGCTACTGGAATCGGGCACGCACAAATAAACACACACATGAATGGGTTTTTGATGTTTTTTTAAAGATGGAACTCCCAGTGTTTCAGATGAGAAACAGTTCATTTCTAATGAACACTGGGTGAGAGGGGAAGTTTTTTTGTCGATTGGCAACTTGGCGGCTAATGGCCTTAGCGTTTTTTTCGATCTCTGACCTGAGGTTAATGGCCTTAGCGTTTTTGTCAATCTCCAAACTGGAAGCTAATAACCTTTCAGTTACCCTCCAACACTTCTGTGAGGCATATTTTGGAATTTAGCGTTATGAATTTGTCTGGAATTCCGGGCATAACTGTTGTTAATTCTTAGTTTGATTCAGCCATAGTAACTTTTCTAGTTGCTCTGACCTAGTGCTGCTGCATCACCTGATGCTCAGCCTCCTGGCGCATCCCACGTTCTCGACACCCCTCTGTAAAGATTACTGCGCAGCAGTGGTTCTCACATAGCAAGCACTTAGCAAGCCCTTAGCAGTTTGGAAATGTTTTTTTTT